TCAGTTGCAGTCTAGGAGAAAGGAAGGTAACTACTGTAAGATCATTTTCTGGTTGCAATCTTTGTTGACTAATCTGCCACTTTAGTGGGCTGGATTTCATGATTGGTGCAGCCCACTGAGAGTATTTAAGCCATGCTAGGCTGTGGTGCAAGCCAGCAAATTTACTGAATAGACAGGCCTGGATGGGAGACTTGCTATTGTTTCTTGTCATTTGAACAGGGTGGCAGCAGTTGTTTTCAGATTAAACTACCTTCAAATCCTAAATTTGTTTAATTTGCAAACCACTCTGTCTGTCTAGGTTTAGGTCACATGCCAAACTGTGCCAAACCCTGCTGGGGGATAAATATGTGAAATGATCATTGACTCACATTGGGCCCATGCAGTGCCCATGCAAACCCATTCAAGAGGACTTACTTCTGAGTAGACATGCCCTGGCTTGGACTGTGAAGCACTACCCATTCATATATGCCTTGCAACTATCCCATTATGCTTCTGGTTAGGTGTAAGAAGGTAGATATAAGTGGGATTCCTCATTTACTGAAGGTTTTATTTTTGGCTGTATGGAGCCATCCATAGTGTCCCATGATGGTCAACCTATTTTGGGGATAGATTTTTGCACCAGGAATATATCCATAAAGCCACTGGAAAGATGGAAAGAAAAAGAACTGCAGTGGATAAAGAACCTGACAGCTTTCTGCAGTTATAATACTAACATTCAGGAATGGGGATTGTGGTGGCAAACCTAGACTTTTGCCTCCTTAATAATTATGGACAGAGTTGTTAAACATGGCCTTAATTAGCTTGCTGGCATATCATGGGTCATGCCACAATAGCTACCCCTTTCCTTTTCCTGATGGATAAAAGGGCAGAAAGAAGGCACGGCAGGAGTCTCAACAGGCTTCCATTTCTATTTTCCTGTGTCCCTGGAACACTGCAATATCTCTGATGGAAGAAGACTTGGAAATGTAGTTTCAAAAATGCCTGACTTTGATGCCAAAGGCTCAGGTACCCTGGTGAGCTCTGTTTCCCAGGGTCGCTGACACCTGCGATGTTGAAGGATGCATCTGACCAAAGAAGAAACTGAGGCCTTACGGAAGACATCCATGGAAATCTGTCACATGTTTCAGCCATCAGAAGGCAAGTGTCAAGGGAAAGAATGTTGCTAGTGGGGCCATATTTGAGAGCTTGCTGCTGTGCTCTGGGATTTCTTGATCCAGACCAAAACTCCAATCTGGCTGGCTGTAGAATTTGGTCATTTCTCAGTTGCAGGCCTAATTAAAAGAACTGGTAGTGTGAGCATTATTGAGTCGTGTTGCTTTAGCATATTGTCTGACCTGGCACACCCAATCATATCACCCCGTCTCTTAATTCCTTGCCTCATCATTGCTGTTGCTTCTTACTATCATAAGCAGTGCCCATTCCTGGGTGATTCATCTTCTTGTGCTGAGACAGGTTCATTCACAATATATATTATGCTGCCCTTCTGATCCAGCAGTTACTGTATGTCATAACACTGATTACATACCAAGCAATATTCTGTTGGCACAGTGGTTTAGAGAAGTGGACTATAAGCAGTCTATAAGAATGGAGATCCCAAAGCCATTTACATGGAAGTAAATATCACTGTAAGCAATTGCACTGAGGAGAACATTAATGTTTAGGGCTCCTCTTGAAGTGAAGTCTCAGAAAAAAAATCTTAGCATGCCATAGTGAGATTATTTATTCATTGGTTAAAAAAAAAAAAAAAAAACCCAGTCAGGGAATCTGTTCACTGAAGGCCAAATCTTAGGTTATAGTTCCCATGCAAAATCTGTGAGAAATGCTTTTGTGTAACTCTGTGGAGCTATAAACTATTTATTTATTAGATTTACATCCTGCTGGTGTTTTTTTAAGCATTCAAAGTAGCTTACATTATTCTCTTCCTCCCGCTCTCAATCTTATCCCCTCAACAACAGCTATGCAAGGTAGGTTGGGCTGAGTCTGTGACTGGCTCCATGGGTAAGTGGGGACTAGAACCCAGATTGCCTGAATCCTAGTCCTGTGCTCTTAACCACTGCACCTCACTAGCTCTCTACTGTCACTCATATGCATATTCTTAGTAATGGCTGGAACTAATACAGAAATTCTCTTGTAGGCATAGACAGCTGTTGAATGCATTAATACCGCCACCTGGAACTTATCAATACAGACGTCAGATCCCCCTGAAGTTTCAAGGCACACAACTCTCTGATTGTTCAATTCTTAAAAAAGCAGTTTGTAAAAATATCAGCCATGATTATGTTGCCCTCAAATTAAGATTGTAGAGAGATCACTTCCAGAACTTCAAACCTCTTTTTTTATTTGTATATGACTGCTTCTAACTTTCATATGCTTTCATATGCTAGTGAATCCCACACTGTTTGAAACTTCAGTTCAGATGTAAGGACATTTTTTTCCCCAATTTATATCCTGCCTTTTTCCTATATAGGGCTCAAGGCAGCTTACATCTCCTCCTCCATCTTATCCCCACAACAACCCTGTGAGGTAGGTTGGGCTGAGAGTCTGTGACTGGCCCAAAGTCACCCAGTTGGCTCCGTGGCTGAGTGGGGACTAGAACCCAGATCATCTGAGTCCCAGTCCCATGCTCTTAACCACTACACTGCACTGACTTCAATCATTATTTAAGAACCAATCCTATGCACGTTTAGACAGAAAAGCATCCTTAAACTTCCAGCTGACCCTAGCCAGCAATGCTGTCTGGGGGTCACATTGAGTTGCAGGACTCTCTCTCTAAACATGCACAGAATAATCAAAATCGAATGATTAATTTAGTCCAATATGCATTGTTACAGACTGGCAAAGACTGTCTCAACACATTGATTTCATTTGTTTTGATAGAACTCATTTCCAATACATCTCCTTCCCCGTGAAGCTGAAATTTATCGTAAAGAGTTATGGTTACCAACTTGTCGTAGTTATGGTCAAATGATGTATCATTATGTATCATTTTCTGCATTTCAGTGAGGATCAAAATCATGCCCTTTACTGCTGCAACTTCAAGCAATGTCTTGCATGCATGAAGCAGCCACTGAAGGTTGAACAGCAAAAGTGAAGCTGACACATCGCCTCATGTTATGAGCCTGCCAAGAAAAGCCAGAACAGCATAGTGGTTACAGCATTGGGTTGGGACTCCGGAGATCTGGGTTCTAGTCCCGATTGGGTAACTTTGGGTCAGGCACCTACCTCATACAGTGGCTGTGAAGATGAATGGACAGGTGGACGAGGAAGACGATCCAAGCTGCCTTGGGGTTCCTACAGGGGGTGGGGAGGGAATCAAAAACATCATAGCCATTCACTCATTTGGCTGCAGGCCATCAAGTGACAAGTCACCGAGTGCCAACATACCAGATTATGGCTATTCCTTTGGATATGAGAGATGAGTGTCATGGTTGTTTGGATGTATTCCAGCTATCACAAGATGACTTTATTCCATCACTGTCACATTAACAAAATTTCTTCTAGTGAATACAAATCCTGTTTTGGAGCCTGCTGATATTGGCCACATCCCAATTCAACTTCTGGACCTTTGCTTTTTCAATTCATAAATACAAACTCTCTGTGTGTGTATGGGGTGGGGGTGAGGCAAACCAATTCCATGATAATATGCTAGAAATTACCTTGGCAATTATGCCCGGGGTAACAAATTATTCTACTATTCAGTAAGGCATTCTTAAGGAATGTTTTCTAGAACCAGGGTACAAGGCTACAGTTTTGAGTACAAACATCATTTATTAAGCATTTTAAAGTTGTGCAGTTTTCTGCCCATTTCCCTAGATATCAGCCCTAGCTAATGCAATGCAGCTTGGGGCCAAACTGGTATGCATTTTACAGTCCCTACAACATGATTCAAGAAACAGCTGCACTACCTTCTGATTTGTCAGTGCAATGGAAGATGCTGGTTCTTACATAACAAATGAACAACAACAACAACAAACTTTTAAGCAGCTCAGGAATGTAAGAAACTTCCTTACACTGGGTCAGCTCGTGGGTTTTAAGCAGGAATTTTTCTGACCCATCCTGGAAGTGCTAGGGATCGAATCTGGGAACTTTTGCATTAAAGACCATTGCTCCTGCACTGAGACACAGTCCTTCCCCCTTCTCTACTACTGAGGTATCTTAAATACTGTCTTTTCCTTTATGAGCCTGCCCCAAATTCACACTCATAATTTGAGCCCTGTTAGGGCTGCAGTGGTAAAATGGAGAAGAAGAGAACCTAATAAGCAGGGTTCCTTACAAGAGGAAGAAACATGAGCTATGAATACAGTATAGTCATAATAATATACTTTGTCATTGTAAACATATTTATTTAATTAAAAATGGTTATTAATGCTATTAGTTAATACATGTGCAGTAATACTTAATAAAGTACTCATTATTTGAATTTAGGAATGTAAAATTTCAGTTTAGTTGGCCACAGTGCTATCCAACTCCAGTCTTTCCTCTGTTGACACTTTTACAGAAATTAAAGCTGTGGGTTTCTTTTTCATTGCCATGGTACTTCATTGTTAATCCCTGCAAAATGCTACTCTTTTCCTAAGCAAATATTAAAAGAGAGATCAATTTGGCTGATTTGAAAAACACCTCTACCTGAAGCTTGGGAAAGGGTGTACAGTTAGTGCCGTGGCAAAAGCCAAGAGAGAAACAAAATGGGCAGCCAGAATGAAAAATCAGTAAAGTGCATGATTATTGTCAAAATATTCTATTTTCTTTGATTCAGAAAATTTACTGGCAGACAATGTGCAATATAATTTGGCTTATATGGAGTACAGGCTAGCAATTGAACAGAATAAACTTCTGTTGCATGTGTTTGTTTTTCCTGAACACTTCTACAGGTATTTATTGATGCAATTTGAAGATAGCATATTTCAGCTCTTTGGATATCAACCAGTTTCCTAAGTCCACAAGGGGGCAGAAGGATTACAAGTTGTCCTGATGTTTGTCTCCATTTTATCCGAGCTTGTTCAAATGCCAGCGTTTTCTGGATCTCCTTCCTCCAGCCTGATAGTGGCATCTGATCTGGAGATCATGAAAAGTTTCTCTTTATTTGTATACTGTCTTTGAATTTTCAAAGGCAGCTGCTCAGTTTGTTCTTTGCTGGCATCCTCTGAGGGGCTTGTTTCCCCAGCAGGGTTCGCATTACAGTCCTGGACTTTGTGGGTCGGAGTGTTGGCAACTGATTCCAGGGAGGTGCCTGTCTCTTCCAGCGGGGTGTAGCCCTTATTGCTTCTGTACTGGTCACTCTGGGAGACCTGGGAATCTCTCCTATCTGCAGATGGCATTGGAGGAGAATCCCCCAAATCTAAGGATTTGGGGTAGCTGCAAGATGAAGCTTTCACTAAAAGGCTGGAGTCTAGGTCTGTGCTGCTACCCAAAGTCTGAGAAGGTTCTGGTGAGAGGGATCTCCTGGCATCGGGCAGGCAGCTTGTGCTCTGGCGCCTAAGAACCAGCTTGCGCTTGCCTGTCCTGGGCAGCATTGTATGTCCTTGCCCTGTGTCTGCATAGCTGCTCCTAAGATCTTTCAGGCTGAGTTCAAACTCTCCCCGTGGGATTTCCCGGGACCCTCGTTCCCCCAGGGGTCTCCGCCAGCCATCCCGGTCTCTATCTGCTGCCTCCCCTTGAGTCATGGGCAGCAGGGTGAATGTGCTGAGTGAGGAACCCACAATGGAGCTGGCCGTGCTGTGTTGGTCCCAGCCATCTGGGGGGCTCCCAGGTGGGCTACGTGCAGTCCTGGCCAAGGCAGCCCTCTCCCGATAGATGCTGTACACAGCCTCTGCCAAACTGGGTGGCTGCTGCAGCCTGGAAGAGAGTGGGGAGGAGCAGCGTGGTGACGAAGCCAAGTCAGGAGGGGAGAGGGGACTGCTCACGGAGGGATGCCAGGTGCTCTTGGCCAGCATGGCAGCAGTTCCTTTGGCTTCCCCGGAGCTGCCACCAGGTTTCAGCTCTAGTCCTCGGGACTGTACATAGTTAACAAAGCCATTGATGGGAACAGGGGCAACAGTAGCTGAGGAGGCCCCATCCTTGGTCCGAAGGCTGTGTGCATCGATTACTGTGGAGTAGAGGTCCCTAAGATTGATAATCTTGGTCTTCTTGTCCCGATTCTCATGCAGCACAGCATTGGCACAAATGAAGAGAAAGATGCCGATGCCCATGATGAGGGGCCCAAGCACCTTGAGCTTGTCCGAATGCAAATACCTTGAGAAAAGCTGGAAGAGGAAGCCTGTGGAGGAGGGTGGAGAGGCAGATAAGGATGGGAGGAGGCCCTTCTTGCTACTGGTGGATGAAGAATTGGTTGCTGAGCCTACCAGGAGAGTCTGTCCTGGATCTTCGGTCTGGTTCTGGGAGTGACTTTTGGTAGTGCTCCCGTGTGGTGCCAAAACTGCCTTGTTGCCAATGCTCCCTGCCCGGTAAAGAGGCTTGGGCCAGTAGCCCACGACTGCCAAGGCAATTCCCACCAGCAGCACCAAGATGCCACAGAGAGCGACAAGGCCAGAGACGGAGCAAAGTTTGAGCTTGCCTTTCACCACCACCACATCATTCTTGCGCTTCTTTTTGGCTTTGCGCTTGCGCTTGGGGACTTGGTTCTGAGGCCGCAAGGGATCCTGTTTCCTGGCTGAGATTCTCAAGAGGCCTCCAGTGGCAATCATGGCTGGTTACCCTGAGAACTGTTCCCTACAGCGGCTCCAGCTCCTGCAGCAAAAGAGAGAAAAGAACGTGACGACCTGGGAGGAAGCTGACCTTGCAAAATCCTCATTAGTTTGCGAATAACAGCTTGCATCAGTTTTCTGAAATCTGCTGAATACTCCCTCACACACAAGAGTGTGTGCACAAAAAATGCATGGTAGCACGTCTAAGTAACTGTATACCCCACATCAGAATAGCCACAGAGCACGTGGCCTGGCCTTAATTTTGCTGTTTGCTCGGTCACTGACTTGTGTCTGGGTACCTCACTAGTAGCTGAGGACTTAGAGAAGAATAAAAACTGCATGGCTTAAGTTTTAGCTTAATTGATAAAGTACCTACTGCATGAAGAAAGATTAAGGAAAAGGAAACAGAACAAGTAATTTCAAAAGACTGCAAGAGAATATAATTTGTTCCCTTTCTTGTTGCGAGTATGGCTGGCACAGATGCCTTAACTAAATGCCACCTAAATTTTTAGAGTAATTTCCTTTAAGAGTGTGTCTCTCGTGAATCAGTGTTGGAGGCTGTTCTTATGTGGAGAGGATGAACAAACTGAAGCTTAACCCAGCAAAGACTGAGAGCCTCTGTTTCTATACAGGTGTATTGCATGCAGGTAAAGAGCACCCTAATGCCCTAAAAGAAGTGCATGCTTCAAGGGTGCGTGATGGTCCTAGGCAGTTGCCAGGATGCTGTTCAGCAACTGGAATGCATTTTGGCAATATATCAACTGTATCAGCTCCCAACTGTTTCTGAGTCCAGCTGAAACTGCTGTTATTGGCTTTAAAGACATTAATAGTCTAGGACTGCTGAAGTCTGACTTTGGTCCTGTTGACCTACCCCTGATTCAGCTGTTAAGGTTTGGCTTGCAGGTGTTTCTCCACTGACTACATGATCAGCAGCTACTACACACAGGGGCTTTTTCCATGATGGCTCCACAATTTGTAGAATTCCTTCCCTGGGACTTGTTTTCCTCCCATTAATTGGGTGATTGAGATGTTGCCATTTGGAGTATGTTGCCTTTCTTTTCTGTATTGTTCATTCAGTATTCATTTCAGCAATTGTAATATTGATGCTTGGTCAACTTGTTTATGCAACAATCTTATGCATTTTAGACAGAAGAAGGCCTACAATTCTCATTGTGTTTAGGCCAGCTTAAAAAGAGCCCCCCTGATTCCCTACAGGCCTTTTTCTGTATCTAAACATGCATAGAAGTGCACTCTTAAATGAATTAAGGGTCTTATACTGAAGTTATACAAGAGCTGACCTATAAGAACATGGAATGACAGCATTTAACTGCTGCAATGGCATAAACAGCCTCCCCCAGACCCTTTTTTCCCCCTGCAGGGCTCACACAGCAGCTCCCATCTGCCCTAGTGTTTTCCTCAACTTTCAACCACTCCACGAACAGCTCAGCTCTGCACTGTATCAGTGTGCAAGTTCCCAAACCCCAAACTCTGTTTCTTTGCACAGAAAGTTTGCTGCTGGCCCTACCCTGGAGATAGGGAAGGTAGGGTCCTCCAGATGTTATTGGACTACAAATCTCATCAAGCTTGCCAACAGTGAGGCATAGAATCGTAGAAAAGTAGAGTTGGAAGGGGCCATCAGGACCAACCCCCTGCTTTGCAACTTACACCATCCCACTGAGATGACTGTCCAGTTTCTTTCTGAATGTCTCTAGTGTGGGAGAGTCCTTGACCTCTCTAGGCAGCTGGTTCCACTGTTATATTGCTCTGACAGTGAGGAAGCTTTTCCTGATATCTAGCCTGACTCATTTTGTTGTAACATAACTTCATTATCCCATGTCCTATACTCTGGTATTAGTGAGAAGAGATCTTGACCTTCCTCTCTGTGACAGCCACTGAGGTACGTTTATTTATTTATTTAAAACATTTCTATGCCGCCCCCATTGCAACAAGGCCTCAGGGCGGCTCACAAAAGGGATATCAAGTTTAGAGGGATATAAGTCCCTTTTCAGTCTTCTCTTCTCAAAGCTGAACATGCCCAGTTCTCGCAGTCTCTCATCATAGGATAGGAGGAATTGCAGTCCACAGCATCTGAAGAGGCACACATTTGTCATCCCTGCCCTGATCTCTCTCCTCAACTCTGGATGTCAGGTATAAGCCCAGGCCCACTATCTTTAGTTGTGTCATTTGGGGTAGGTTTGTAATAGAGGAGCACCTTAACTGCAGAGAAGAAACTGCCAGTTCTCCTTGGCTTTCATAGAAACACCGTCTCGGGAAAGCAAACATGGAGATGGATAGATATATGTGCACATATGTACACACACATGTGTGTGTGTGTATATATAAACATATACATGTGCATCCTCCCTCCCTCCCTCCCTCAGCAAATTAGTATCCTGCAACAGCAGTGTGTTGGACCCAATGGCCTTCATGGCCCCTTCCAACTCTACTGTTCTTTATTTCCTGAATCTATGTGCACATACACAGAGACATGCATTTATATATACGCACATACATATGACCCAATTTTACTTGCTTTGTGCAGGCTCTCACTAGGAACATCTGTTGTTATGCAAAGAATCAGTAATTTTGAAAGCATGAAAGGCCAACTTTTGGTGTGCTCAGCCAGTTGGGAAACAAAAGGTAGGCGAACACATTAGCACCTATATTTCACTTGCTGAGAAGCACCCACCCACACACATGCGCATGCATTCACGCATGCGCGCACACACAGAGGTCTCTTGCGTGTTCAAAACAACCGCTCAGGGTGCCTTGGAATGATGATTCCCCTGTGCGGCTTTTCAGGAAGGAATTGTCATTATGGAGTTCCATTTAGAGACATGGAGGCCTGGTAAAACTTTGGGAAATTATGAGGGTGAAAATATTTTCTCCCAGGAAGTTGTTTTGTAAAACTGAAACATACTTGGATTTTGAAATACTTTCTTTTAAATTTTAAACAATGTCCTTGTATATTATTACTCAGCCTTTCCTCTCTTAAAACTGTGCAATGAGAAGACTTTTATAGAAAGACTAGAGAGGTAAGATGCTTGCAAATAATGAAGCTATCAGGGAAAAGTTTTTATCTTCTCTGTAAAATTTTCAGCACAGTTATTTCTTTCATTCCTTATTCCTTATTAATTACTGATCTAATGCATCTTTTCCTGATAGCCATTTAGGGATGCACCATGTTGAGTTGTTTTCCAGCATGTGAACAGAATCAGCTTTCACGATATGAAGACTTATGTATTTAATTCTGTAGAATCCATTCTATATCCTTTTTTCCTGGGCTGCTTCTAGTTAAATACTGCAGCAGTCAATTAATGTAGCTCTAATCAAAAACACATATGGAATAAACAGTGTTTATCCTACCACTGTAGCCAGTAATTGAGCAGGATATGGGTTATCCTTGTTATGTATCTCTAAAAGGGAACAAAACAAAAATTTGTAGCTTGGGTAGATGGAGCTCACTGCCACAGCTTTTAATAAGATCCTCATACTCAGTACTAGGGAATACTGTTTCAGCTGTAAAATCTTTTAGCTGCTTCTCCTGTTAGAAACCCTCTCTTTCTTGAAGAAACTCAATAGTCTGGTTCCAATGGCATCGGCGTGGAACTAACACTACCACAGGAGACCAGCTTTCAAAATAACAAAAAACATTGGCAGAAATGGTTTACAGAAATGAGTAAAAGGGCCACTCTTTATTGCTTAAATGTGCTTAATACAGTGCTTACAATTCCTAAGAGGAATTTTTCCCACCTAAGTAAAATGTCAACAGTTTTTCCTTCCGATTGGATTCCATTAAGCCCCACCCTCAAACAGGAACATATTTAGGAACTTCCTAAAATTCTTTACAAACAGGAGCAGATGCTTTACTGCAGCCTTCCAGTTTCTTTTGAATCCCAGGATAATTTAGATGCTACAGGGACTGTATGTGCTGAACTTTCATCTGGGTAGGAGAACCCTAATAGGAACCTGAAGTATCTTATCTGTTACTTGTCTTGCTCAAAACACTGTCATGTTTGGTAAATAAAATTCAAAAGTTTAACTTAGTCAGACATTAATTACAAATTTACTATTTTTTTCTTTTAGAAATTTTTAAATGCAGTCGCAATTTTATGAGCAAACCAAGTTACACCTGATGTAATATAACTTTAGGAACATGTACACTGCTTTATGCTCCTAATGCAGCTTCCCTAACCCAATGCCCTCCAGTTGTTTTGGACAACAAGCTCAGCATTCCTGAACATTGTCCATGCACCCTAAGGCTAATTTGAGCAGAAGTCCAAAATATCTGGAAAGCATCCAGATTGGGAAAGGGTGTCCTGAAGCAATTAAGTGGCTTTGAATCTGTAGAGAGTATTAAACAATTTAGTATTGCTTATTTTTCCCAAAATGGCCATTCCTTCTCACAATAAAAAAGGGCAATCAAGAAAATTGAGTTTTTTTTGCATGACTTCAAAAACTGAATAAAGAGTCCATCTCTCATTTCACTGCCTACAGTATTGCTTGTGCTGGAGACCCAGATGAGTTTCTTTCTCTGGATCCAAAGTGGATTTGCTGTGATGCTGGACTAAACAGGAGGAGGCAGAAGTGACTCACTTTGATGCATCATGGGATGTGATAGGCTGGAGCCATTTCCATCTCTCCAGTGAGCATGTGGGTGTATGTATGTGAAGTAGGATTGCAACTGCAGTGGTTGTGGCTGTTGATCTCTGTTCTGATGTATGCTTGGAAGTTGGTAGCGGGGAGTGCAATCCGGCTTCCACACTCCATCCCCACTAAATGTGTAAATATTATATACTTAGATACATTTGAAGCACCTCTAGGAAGGAGCAAATCTTCAGAAGGGGAAGGTGGACTAGAAAGAGAATGGCCTGTAAACATAGATGGTTTAGATTCCTGTTCAGAGTGGGAGCTTCCCTACAACTTTGAAAGATTGTCTTGGCTTCATAACTCAGCTTTTGTAGACCCTAAACTAGATAATTTTCTTCTCTAAGAAGGAAAAATGCTTGCTTTGTATATAGCAAGCTGAGGGAAGATGGAACAGAGCTTCTCTTAAGGCTTCCCTTTTCAGTCTCAATATCCTTGTCACTCATGTTTTGATTTGGCTTCTCCCTTGCATGACCTACCACTTCACTCTCCCCGAAGGCCCTCCTACAGGTGTCTTCTTTGAGTGGGCAACAAGGAAGAGGTCCACCCCCAATTATGGAATGAAATCCTGGGCAAGGCTGTCTGGTATCAACATTGTTATCTTTACAGTGCCAGGGGAAGACCTTCTCCCACTACCAGGCCTATGGTAATTTTTTAATCGGCCATCTGAGCAATAGGATATTGTTCAGATGTGTGTGTCTTTGCATGTCAGATCTGTTCATATGTTTGTAGATAAACCATGTTACCCATAATACTGTAGTTTAAACCTTTTAAATCTTTACACCCTGCCCAGAGAGCTTTGGCTCTGGGGTGGTACAGAAATGAAAACAGTAATAATAATAAGTGCAATGAAATGGCTATCTTTTTCCATACCATCACAGAGAGTCAGGACCTGGTATCTGCCTCATCTCCTCAATACTTGGGGCTGAATGTATGTTGAAAATTACAGCATGGTGGTTTGGGTGTTAGATGGGGACCTGGGAGAACCATGAAGCTCACGGGGTGACTTTGGGTCTGTCACAGACTCTCAGTCCAGCCCACTTCACAGGCTGTTAAAGGAGGATTATGAATGGTGGAGGAGGAGTCTGTGTGGTGCCTCGCCTTCCATACATAACAGAAACAAAGGCAGGGTGTACGTAACAAAGATGTGCATCTGGGCCTGGCTTTCTGCTCCCCAGACTTTACAAAGACTAGCTGTACATGCTTCTGCACATGTGTAAAGAGTCTTCTCAAGGATCACATGGAAAGGCCTTGTGTTCAGGTCCCCAAATGCCACCATGTCTTTTCTGACCGCTTAAGCTACAGCAGGTGAGAAAAGGAGAGAAAGAAGATTACTGGATTGGTTCTTTAATTCTTTAGATCTTTGCTTTATCTTTACAAATGAAATAAGAAATCATATGGCCAATATCATAATGCCTGTAGTGCAGCACTGGAAAGATTGCAGGAAGGTGAAACCAAAATGATCAAGGCGTTGAAACAACTCTTGAAACGAGTGAGAAAAGGTAACACCATCTGAGACTCTGTAGCTTAGGAAAAAATGAGCAATTGGGGATATGACGGAGGTGTCGATTTTGCATAATATGAAGAAAGCAGAGAGGAAATAAAACTTTTCCGTCTCTCATAATACCAGAATCCTGCATCATCCAAGGAAACTATTCAGGGCAGGTACTTCTTCACACAATTCATAGGTGAATTTGCTGTCACAGGTGGCCACTAACTTGGATGGCTTCAAAACAACCTCAGGAAGGATGTCTATCAGTGCTTACTGGTCACGGTGGTTACATGTTGCCTCCAGCATCCGAGGTGGGATGCCACTGCATGCCTATTGCTAGAGAATGTGAGTAGCAGGGAGCTGTTGCCCTCACCTCCTGCTTGTGGGCTTCCTACAGGAAGCTGGAAGGCCACTGTATGCTCAGAATGCTGGACTAGATGAACCCTTGGTCAGATCCAGCACAGCTCTTCTGAGGGACTTGTATTAGTACATGTGGAGACCAGGAGTCAGGCCCAGAAGTAGTCCTGATTCCTTCAACATGCAATGACCATGTTAAAAGAGTACAGTCTAAGCACGTATTCAGGGATATAAACATATGAGCAAGATGGAAAAGAATACTGAAATGAGCTTTTGTTGTTTGGCAGGCAGTACTTTTCTGGATTAATACACTACAGGCAAGTGAGAGATTTGCCTGAAGTGGAGACATGAACCAATTTAAAAAAGGTTAAAGTTACATTGTAAAAACACTTCAGGACTAAACCTGGGAGTCCTCTGTCAACAACAGTTTAGAGGGACAATCCGCCCTTCCTTTAAAGTTGTGTATGCGGCAGTTTTCATCTTCCGGCTGGTGATAACCAAGATCTGAAGCATTCCCCAGTGTTTTAAGTTGTGGAGGGGGCATGAGGGAACCCTGATGCAGCCTTAAGCACACCTTGAACCATTGCTTCACTTTAATAACACCTTCTGCTCTATTAAGAATTTCCCACAGGTTTCTGTTTTTGTTACAGAAGCTGCTGTATCTTAGCCGCAGGCTATCTCTTTTGAATGAGGGCAGAGACTTGGAATAGTGATCAATCATGCAAAAGAGAAAAGCACTCAGTTTCAGAGGTAGGAAATAAAACCAAAAAGGTAAGATAAATGTTTTTAGTTAAGCCATTGGTACGTACATACATATGTATTGCACTGACTGTGCTGGTGATTTTATTCAGATGCAGCTTTTACAATCTATTGCTCTCAATATATTAAGGATATAATAGATCCTAATAAAATCAGAAAAGTATATTTGAAGCAAATCCTTTTACATTTGTTTCTGACTGTGCAGGAAAATCTTCCTTTGTGCTTGGTTTATGAGTGTATCTTCTGGACATATGCCTGATTTGGAAGCATGTATGTTGTTCAAGGTAACTGGTTATGTAACACCAGTGAATTTTCAGTCCATAGATGTGAGAATACAATGGGAAGAGAAAGGTACCGCACAAAACCTGATTTAAAAGAGAGAGAGAGAGAGGGAGGGAACACTTATTTGAATCACCAAGGGAACAAATTATGCTCTTGTGTTGATAAAGTACCCTGGGATGATGTGCAAGGTTTATTTACATCCACTAATTAGGGTTCATTAATCCGAATATTCAAATAAGGAAGCAACCATGGAAAATTCAACAATTCCTTGCAAACTGTTCTGGACAGTCTGAAAATGCTAAAGAATGGTGAAGCACCATTCAAAATAGATTATAAGAAAGATGAAAGCAATCAGTTCAGCATGCTGCATGAAGTTAAATCCTTTGCCTTGAAATCTGTTTAAGTCAGCATCCTTGGTAATCTTGTTTTCCTCAATAGCTAAATCTCCCCATTTCCAGCATATCCACAGATTCAGCAATTTTCTGATTCATTTCAAATCCATGTAATTTTTTTACTGCAAAAATATCCCTGGTTCTTACTCTGCTCTTAAAAGTATTTCCAGTTGAATATTATCTTTACTCGTAGCAGTATGATTTGACAGTTAAGAGAAAGGATTGGTGGTGAAAAATAATAACAGTGATGATGATGATGACGATGATGATAATAAATAGGGCTTTATTCATTTATTTGAAAGGAAGGTTTTGCATTAACTAGGCTGGGGAAAGCATGCGCTGATATTTCGATCTGAGCAGTGTTTGCAAAATCTTATTGATATATATATATATATATATGAGACAATAAAAGCACTGGAAGAGGAAGTGGGCTACCTAAAAGGAAGGCTACTGCTCATGCATATGCTATCAGGAAATGAATGCCATATTAGTAAGCACATCTATGTTTTCCAGGGATTTAGCTATGTTTCAAGCCTAAAAGATAAAGCATTTGATAGAAACAAGTGAGATCAGGAGAGCTGATTCTAGTTTTGTTCGCCTTTCTTGATGGTTTAATGAGTAGGGAAAGGGGAAGTAACACACTTCCCCTTACACGCACACTCCATTTGAGGAAATTCACCTGTCCTGTGCCAATGAACTTCTTGGCTTAGGAGAGTTTCTGGCTTCCTGTAAGGCAGTTCAGACATTCTGGCATCCGAGCCGGTGCACTGCAGCTGCCATCCCTGGTGCTGAATTGTCCCACACAATCTGATTAGCAAAGTTGCCCGTGCCTGCTGGGACTCGTTTCAAAAAGATGTCACTGAAAATCCCTGCCTGATGGGCCGTCCGTGCGGCAGAGCCTAGCAAAGGGCTAAAACTGAGGACAATCAAAGGGGACCAGTTATGCAGCTCGCTCTGGAGTCATCTTTCAACTTTCCAATTCAAAACTCAGCCGTGAAGGCAATCCATCGAAAGGTAGTGCCACTCGGGTGCACGTTCAAGCATCACCTGTTCCCATTTGCCAGAGGCCATCTGAACTGCACACCTCCATCCCTCTTTTCATAACCGGCAGAATATCTCCCCTGCCTCCCCCCGCCCGGAAGGGATGCAGCTGCGAACTGCTTTGCCAGGGGACGCGCGACAGCGGGGAAGGGGGGCAACGGAGAGATCGCCACGCACCCACCCTCTGCAGCCGAGCCCTTTTTGGGTAGTCTTGGGGTGCGGGTGGGGGGGAGAAGTGTTGCAGGATCCCCGGGCGAGTTTATGGTTCAAAATGGCAGCACGTCGTAAGCGAAGCCGCTCCGTTGCTCTCTTACCCGGGAAGATCGGGGGATGTCCGAGCCGCAGGCAAGCTCCGCGGAGCCCAGGGAGAAACCATGGGGAGAAACTTTGCAGCCGGGCGCAAGCGGACCCCTAGGCAAAGACCACCTCAGCCCCCTCCCCTCAACGCCGCCTCCTTCTCCTCCTCCTCCTCCTCCGCCGCCGCCGCCGCGGACTCCTCCTGGGGAGCCCCGTTAGCGCCACGAAGGGAGCGTCGCTCCGGGCAGCCTCCCGGCGGATCGGCAAGGCGGCGGCGGCGGCGGCGGCGGCAGCAGCAACAGCCATGGCGCGACGGAGTTTCTCCAAAGTGTGGCTCCCGCTCCGCCGCCTCCGGCCGGCATCCTTAGGCTGGGTGGCCCGGGCGCTCGGGGCTGCCGCCGCCGCCGCTCCCGCGCCTGCCTCCCGCCCGCCGCCGCCGCCGCCGCCGCCGCTGTTGTGGTGGCGGCTGCCGGAAGCGCGGATCTTCTCCTGCCTCGCCGCGCCGCCGCTCCGACGCCGCTGCTCCTGAATGGCTCTGGAGACGCCGCCGCCGCCGCCGCTCGGACCGCTGCAGTTGCTAGGAAACCGGAGCCATGACACAGGGAAATTGCGGCAGGATGGCGATCGTTCCCTTCCCGATCCCGCTCCTTCGGGGGAACCAGCGCCTCGCCCCCTCCTCCCCTCCTCCCCCACTCGGCGGGCTCCTGCCGCCCGCCGCCGCCCCCGCTCTCGTCGGGCCGCTGCCGGCGCCTCCCCGCTGCCGCGCACGCCCCACCTGCGAGCCAAGGGGGCGCGAAGAGCTCGCTCGCTCGCTTCCGGCTGATGCCAGCCTCGGAGCTGCCCCCACCCCGCCCCGTCGGAAGAGACTTCGCCCCCTCTCCTCTTCTCCCCCTCCGTGCCACTCACTCCGCAGAGGCTGCTGGCTCCAGTGTCAGTGGGGCGGTGCGTGCACGCCAAAGGGCGGCCAAGGTTCAGCACGGTGGGTGGGCATCACCGGGCAGACCGGAGCCAGGAAGAGTGGGCACATCGCCTCACCGGCAGTGGAGCAGCGCAACCGGCAGTGCGACCTACGCGTCTGAATCTGCCACCCCCTCGTTTGTGAGGTCTCCCCTGCCTCCTCACCTGCAACTGTAGTCCAGAGGGAGCGGGCTGGGGGACATCTCTCCCGCGCGCTCTTGCTCTGTGCATTCCTTTGCACCCCCCTGACCTTTTTCTCCCATCACTGCTGTTTAGGTTGCAGTGATCAGCTGGCTGACTCTAGTTTCACCTAACTGCTTGCAAATTTTTTGTGATGTAAAGTCACTTTGATCTCTTAAAACCATCACCTTCTTCATTTCTTCATTTGCAGTTTGTTTTAATGCAGCAGCACATCGTATTTTTATTCTTTTTATTGTTTTAGCTTGTTTATTTCCATACAGAAAATAAATGTACGCTTTTTATGTATTAAAATAAATACATCATTTGCAACCCATTCCATTTTCTGAAAAGGCACAGATTAATATGATTGGCATTCATAGCAACTCAAAAAAGTTTCTTTAAAAGTTTTGGGAGGCATGTTTTGTAACAGAAAGCATCTAAACACTTGTCCACAATCAAAGGTAACTTCTTCCCTGCCAGGTGCTAAAATTTGTATCACTTAATTTGGTCTGCAAGACTGACAAAGAGCTTTGTTGCACTTTAAAAACTGGTAAAAGTTTTTATAGACCATAGTCCTTTTATCAAATGTATGAAGGACAATAGTCCATAAAATGATGATGAAATGAACTCTAGTTCACAAAAACTTATGCCATCATCAATTTGTTTAGTCTTTAAAGTGTTACAAAGTTCTTTCCCTGTCCATTTTTTTTCTTTTTCTTCCTTTTTTTGGCTGCAGCAGATTAACACAACTATCTCTATCTTAATTTAGGCTGCAGTCTTAATATACTACCGGGAAAGTAAGCTCTATTGCAGATAGGGGGATAGGCAGGTAAATGTTAAGTTTATGCTGCTCATGTCCTAGTTCATGGGCTGAGAATCAGTCCAACATCATTATGCTTTTCTTCTCCTCAGGAAAGTGTCTCAGGCACTTTGTGAAAAGTTCAGGGAATCTATTTGTTTTTGCTTGCCATATTTTCCCTGGGGCTTGTCTGAAAGCAGCATCAGCTTTTAAAAATTATAGTCCAAATGCAAATTGGTTATTTCTTCTATCCCACTTTTCAACCTTTAAAGCTGAGGAAATGACTATTTCTTCTTTAAAGGCTCAGATTAGTTGCTTTGGGCTGTTGAAGATCCTGGCTGGTGTTATCCTTTACTTTTGAGAAGCACAGTATTAGGATCAGTTTATCAGGAAGTGTACAGTAACCCAATGTTAATAGTCATGCTTTCAGCATGCAGTGCTGTCCAAAGAGCACTTTTGAATCAGAAAGTGGTCATCATTACCAGACACAAGAACAAACTGCACAGAGAAGAGGCTAAAGGATTTGGGGCTGCACCTGCTTGAGACCAAATCTTAGGGAAAGATTGATTACTACGCTTATCTACTGGATGTGAAGCGGAACAAAAGGTGTGTGTGATTTGCTTTCTTAAGGAAATGATTCTGATTAAATTTCAGCAGCAGAGATAAGACTATATGTAAGTATTTGTTCATGTGTTTTAAGAAATGCAGAATGAGCTATGAGAAGGGAAAGAACTGTTTTCTAAAAAGCAGTAGGGGAAGGGATACAGTTGCCAAATACTGTATATAAAGCCCCAGGCCTTATGGAGTGGCCCACAGATAGAATCCATGTGAAGAAGAAGAGTTCATTTATGCATTGAATTAATCCAGTTTTGCTAGATGCTGTCTGAGAAGCTGAAAATGGGGAGAATATATATATAAGGCACTATATGATTGTTCTGTATAAGGCATATCTATTTGAAATATTTTGTAGCAATATTCTACAATACATCTAAGCCAGCTTCAATATTAAAAACAAACAAACCAAAAATTAGTGGCAATGGAGAAATCCTTAATTTCTAAGGCAGTGGGGATTTTATGGAAAGGGGAAACTCTGTTCTTCTCCCCCTCCCCATTAATTCTTCCTGATTAGCCATGATTCTGCTATGATACTAACACTGGCAAAAGCTGCAGAATACTTTGCACTGTGGAAATATAGCAGAAATAATAAATAATAGTCATAAGCCTATTGCTGCCTCTTCTACTAAAATGACTAGAACCATCTGCTAAATGAGAATGATATTATTTGTGCAGTGTTGTACATCGTATACTCATGGGAGAACTGGCTGATAAAACCTACTCGAGGTTTCTTAAAAGTTAAAGAAAATGCATTTTCCTCCAAATCTCCCCCTCCCCTGACGTAACTGCAGCTTCTTTCTTATTAACCACAATATAGCTTTGGTGGCTATTCACTGTGTTCAGTGCAATTCAGCTGCATTGGATAGATTGTATTATTCCTTGGAGATTCTTTGAGGCCTACCTGGCTGATAAATCAAGCATATATAATATGAATCTGTACAAGGTGAATAGTGATGATCATAGTATCATTTTGAATTGTGAAGCTTTTGGAAAAGAAGAGGCTGGCTGCATCTGCTCTTTTGCAGAGTAGCCTTGGAGTCCATTCAAGCTGAAGAGAATTCTGGCTTGTGATCAAGCTCTCTTTCCTTTCCCAGCTCTATGAAATCTGTTATGAAGTTTGCTTCTGTTTATGTGGTGCCATTCAATCCCAGGTACTGGGATAAGACAGGCTTAGAACTGTGGAATTCAACAATGAATGGAAGAAATGGAAAGGAGCTTTAGATGTGATTTTACTACAGATTCCCCCCCACCCCTCCAGTCCTCTAACCTAATCTAAAACTCAGCTGAGCTAAAGTGGATTAAACTGGATTGCTTTTGCTGAAGACACAGAGAGAACAGGTTGTCCATTCCCAGTGCTATGTGGAGACCCAGGGTAACAAAATGCCCCAGTTTACAGAGGACAGCTCTCTATTTGAAGCTTTCTTCTATTTGAAAGGCTGTCTTAACCATAACCCTAACTGTAAGCCCAACCCTAACCCTTTAGACAAGAATAATAGTGGTGGTGGTTGTTTATATGGTGTCCTGAATAAAAACACTGCTTTCAGAATAACACAAAAGGACATGCAACTGCTTCAAGAAAGTTATAATCTATGGCTAGGATCCAGAGAACTGTACAACTTGTGCATGCTAAATGAAATTTTGGTCAACTATTTCTCAGACAGCAGGCCCTAATACCACATGGCAAACCACTTTAGAAATCATAGAGAGTAACTGTTAGGAGTCCTTCCTATATTTCAATAGTCAGCTCAGCTACGGCCAGTAAAACCGGTCTGTTGTCCTAGAAAGTTTTGGGACATGAAAAAAGAATGAATAAACTCCAGATGGTACCTAATGCTGAGATCTTGCCAGGCAGGTAACCTAGGTAATTGCCTGAAATGTGAGGCTTGTGGACGATGCTGGACTTGGGAAAAGGTTGCCATAGGCTATCTGTTCACTGAACAGATGGGGGGAGTGCAAACATTCATCTTTATTTGTCGACCTGGCGATGTGTGTGTGTGTGTGTGTCCAACATAGAAAAAAAAAATTTCAGAAAATTACAATGGTGCCCAAAGGACAAATGATGTACGTGCTTGTGAAGAGAAGGCATGCCTCAGATTCTTTTTGCCTGGGGTATCATTTAGTCTAGTGCTGGTCCTGCTGCCAGGACCACCCTGGCGCCTTCCAATACTGTAACACACCATAAATTACCATGTCCTACAGTGTGCTTCAGATTAAAATCTGACAATTCCTAACAATGCAGGGAAGCGACAACATAGAAAAGGGGGAAGTGCAGTGCAGGATAGCAAAAGAAAAATGTGAGAAACTCTCATTCTTTCAGGAAGGGAACCAAGGCTTCAAGGAAAAGGTGAATTTTGATACATGAAGAATCTGAAGAAAGAGGCAGAGGTGGCATGTGAAGTGTTGAGGGACAAAACCATGGGCATATTCATTGTAGGTATATATTTTAAATATGCCCAAGCATATGAAGTTTTAGCTTCTGTTGTGGTTGGTTTGGGAAAGCAGAGCTGAGGGA